GCAAACACACACACACAAAACGCTCCCTCCCCTTCACCATCCCTGACGCACACTCACTGATTGGCTGCTGCTGATGCGAGGCATACGCTGTTCCCTAGCAACAGAGCACGAGCGAACCAATGGGGGTCTTTCGGTGAGAAAGGGGCAGGTTTTTCACTCTGTTGTTACTAAGGTGCAGAAAGAACTGCTGGGCTTCTCTTTACATGTTGCTGCAGACGTGTCTGCGTGTGTTTGACATGTTTCTGCAGACGTGTCTGCATGTATAAATGTCTGCATGCGTGTGTTTGCAGCTTCTTGCAGCTGGTAGCCGTTTCGTTCCCTTTGCAGATGAATTAAAGTGAATTAAAGTCACGCGAGGAGCTGGTTTCATCAGCTCACACAAGGTGAGAGAGAAGTGGCGTTTATTCCCAAAGCGTCCAGAAATGTGCGGAATGCAACTGATGCTTTCATTAGCTAATGCTGCAGCCGTAATATTACACAGGATTAGTGCGGTCCATTGGGGCTGAGTTAAGACAGAACCCAAAAAATATAAATCATATTACAGCAGTGTAATCCCCTCTGCCTACTCATAGCATGAAAAAAGATTTCTCTTTATTTCATGAGGGTAAACCTTGTTCTTCTCCCTTAGGATTATCTTAATATGCAGGATAACGCTGCGTTATGTCACGGTGGACAGGCTGGATCCTCATGACAGCGGGTAACAAATCCTTTTAGTCAAATCAATGCGTAGCAGCGACACGACAAATATGACAAATGCACCATACAGCTGCTGTCGGTTTATTAAACTATGAAGACATGAAATGTTCGACCTAATGACTGAGCATTTCAGGATGATTGCAATCAAAGCTACAATCGTCAGTTCTCCCATCAGAACTATTGATTCTTGGGGATCAAAATAGGTCAGTCGTGTTTTGATCTCAATATTTAAAGCTTCTAAATGTGAAGATGCATTCTTGTATTAAGAGTTTTCCTGATAAAACCTTTTATGTATATTAAAATAGAAAAAGTTAAAGGCACCACTAAAAACGGACAAAACTGCTAAAAAAAACAAAAAAAAACAGGCAGTCATGAAAAAACTAAAGTCAACCTTCTTTCAGTTCAGGGTTTTACGTTTCAGGACTTAAAAAACCTGATCGGGTCTTTAAAAGGCTCTAAAATTATTCACATCTAACCTTAAATAAATAAACACAGATTCTACTGAGACGTTATTTATTAAACAAAAATGAAAAGTTAAATCTGTGAGTTAAAATTTGGTTCCAGCCTCATTGCTGCCTCAGGATTAGATCAGGATCAGTTCAGGATCAGTTCAGGATCAGCCAGGAGCTGCTGATCAACTCATCAGTGGAACCACCTCCGGAAAAAACAGCAATTTTTGCAGCTGTGGAGCCTACAGGTGAGTGGTAACACACCAGGCTGGAAAGACATCAGCAATGACTAAAGAAGCAGCTGCAGCTGCCCATCAATCTGGGAAAGGTCAAAGGTCATTTCCAACTTATCTGGAGTCACATTGTTCTACAAAAGATAGAATCCTCCATCAAGGACGTGCAGGGAATGTTGGTTTGAGAGAAAGAAGCCATCTTCGTGAAGAGAACTTGTCCATCAACAGGTTCCCCTCTTACAATGCTGTTATTGCAAGAATCACTCAGCTCTCTGTGAATAGCAAGTGGCCATCAGGGCACTAACTGATGGTCCTCATTTTTACATGTGAGTAGCTAGTTCTGGATGTCACCAGCAAACGGGTTGATCCACTGTGAGAACGAGCGGCTTATAAGACTGAGTCTGTTGCAGTTCCTCACACTGAAGAAGTCTTCTGGATAAAAGACGAAACGTTTCAACAAAGAAGAATCCGTCCACAGGACCTGACTCAGCATGGTTAGATTGATCTCCCTGGATTATTGATTATTGAGCAGCATCAGGATAGAATGAGAGAATATTCGCAAGTGGAAAATTTTTGAGACAGCTATCTTCCCAGCAGATTCTCACCCCAAAGGTCAGACCGTGCAGTACTCAGAGAATGCACTAAAGCTCAGACTCTACAGGCCTCAGTTAGCAGGTTAAAGGTCATAGGTCATGGCTTGTTTGTAAGGGGTGCAGCAGATAGCCCCTTCTCTCTAAAAACAAGGCGGTACGACTGACGTTTGGAAAGTTTCATCTGATGGAACCGCAACACTTCTGGGACCAAATACCTAATGACAGATGTTTACCCAGAATGCACTGCAGCAAACAAAGCATATCAGAGGGAGCTGAGCAGAAACCTCAATGAACTGAAGCAACGCTGGAAAGAAGAGTGGGTCAAAATTCCATTGTGTCGTTTTGTGAACATGTACCTGCTTTGTTTAAAACGTTGGCACACAGGAAAATGGGCGATATGCATTCCTTTGAGTAATGTTAGTTTACTTTCACACAGTTTTTGGTTTAGTCTCAGCAGCTTTTTAGATGTTCAACATTAAATAGGCAGATGTTGGAGTAACAACCAGTTATCCACTGACATAAAGTCCACTGGTGAACAATAAACTTGTTTCCCTGTTGAGGAGACTCCAGTTTATAAGCATAAATTCATCAGTTTGCTACAAAAAGAACCATGAAGCTAAAACTAAAATTGTTAGACCAGCACTCCGAAGCTCCACTTCTGATCTCCCAGAGATCATCCTCCTGCAGAATGTGTTTATAACAGACCCGAGCAGCCGAACTGAAAGGTAGAGTGAAACCTGAGCTCCGGTGGATTTAAAGCGTGAGAGGAAACAGCACACGGTTTCTGACAGCCTCTCCAGGGAGACTGTGAAAGTGTTGCTTTGGGTTGAGAAGTGCCAGAAATAGACGAGTAACAAATAAAAAAGAGGAGTGAAAACACCTGACTCCACTCTCACCTGCACACAGCTGGCTTGTTATGGTGGGAAAGGAGTTTAAATGCTTGACAGCTTTGAAAGGTTTCAGGTAATCTAACAACGTTATTCCCTCAACATCGAGGCTGTTGGCTGAAAGGATGTGGATTTCTGCATCCGTGGATCAAAACCTTGCAGAAAGACGAATATCGGCTGTTAGCAGCAGAATAACCTTCAGCTACTATCTGCGAGGTCCTGCTCGCAACAAAAGTCACCAGATTTTATTGTAATCATCTTAGATGAATGAATCCAGAAACTAAGATAGAAATAGTTGAGACGTCTTGTTGGGAGACTAATTATCAACCAATGAAAAATTGGTGACTCTGGTGCGATAATCTTTAGCTGTGTGGCTTGAGATGATTAAAGTTATTAAAAGAATATTAATTGCAAATCCAACATTTTTCAGTCAGGTCATCTGGACAGTTTCTTTTTTTGTGCTGAAACGTTTTGCCTTCGATCCGGAAGGCTTCATCAGTCAAGGAAACACACAACAAAACTGATTCTTCCTCCAACAGCTTACTCCAAAGTGGAACAAACCAGTTCTGCTTGTGATAAGATGGTCTCTTTGGTACGCCCCTCCCCTCGTTTCAGCACAAAAAAAGAAACTGTCCAGATGACCTGACTGAAAAATGTTGGATTTTATACCTGGATTATTGAGCATGGACTTTGTTGTTTTCAAGCAGTTTGACAAGACTGTCAACAAGGAAGAGGGCCAGCAATGGAGGAGGGGCGTACCAATCATGTAAGAGCTTTGTTTTAAACTTTGGCAAGCAAGACAGTGGTGGATATGCTAGATTAAATTATAAATTTGAATTTAATGGGGAGGACAAGCTTTAATGAGTTTACTTGGGCTGTTCTCAGTGACATCATCTAGAAAGTAAAAAAAAATAAAAATAAAGTTTATAACAGAACGTGATTCTTCATTGGCCCTATTATAATTTTTTAACAACCCCACTCCACAGACTGTTTTACAGTCCTCAGAGTCCAGGAACTTGGCCAGTTGTGCATCCAATTAATTACCAGTGCTTAACTTTTACCCAGTCATCATCCCTCAGGTGTCATGCCTTACCTGATCCCCTATGTTTGACCCAATCAGAAGCAGTGCAGAACAAGTTAAATCCTGTTTTTAACCGCTGTCTTGTGGGTGATGTAGTTAATCTGAAATGGGAGGAGCTTACAGCAGGTGATGCTGATGTTGATTACCGGCCTCTTTATGAGAAGCTAAAAACCTATAGAACGCGACGGTATACTAAATGCTGGTACTACATATTGATATTTCTAAACGTGTCCAAACATGAATTTAGCTGTGGAGTTTAAATTTTTGTGGGTTTTAATGTTTAGTCTAGCTTCTGGAGAAAGAGGATCAGTGGTGGTCGGTTCATTGGGGCAGGTGGGGTGCAGCTCCACCTAAAAAATTAATTTGCTCCACAAAGTATTTCCTCCTAAAAATAATGTAAATGACTTATTAACTGAGCTTGTTGTGTATTGTTTTGTTCTGTGCATTTTTTTAACTGTTTTTAAATTGAATTCAAAATATTTACAAAGTATTAGTGATGCATTCTCAGTTTCTTTTACTTATTTACTGTTATGGGGTGCTACCGTTCAGCGACCGGTATTCATCAAGTGGATTGGAACAGGTCCAGTGATCCAAACAGGCAACTTCAATAGCCTCATGTGGGGCGTCAGATTTTCTGCCCTGTGGACACATTCAGCTGTTTTTAGCGCATTAATACGACCACTATCACTTGATCTGACGGAGCTAAAACACAGGAAGTGCTGAAGTGAAACCTGTTGAGACCAACAGTGGAGATATTCTGTTTACTATAGACCTGTTTGGAGCAGACAGAGGGGACTGGAGCAGAAAACATCACTTCTTCACTTTTCTATTTTTTAATAGAAGTGAAAAAACTTTTACCGGGCGCGAGTGTTCGGCAAACCGCCACTGCTCTCATGTGTCAGACAGTTCCATTGTGTTCATTAACTTAGTCAATAAATTAAATATTAAGCAACATAAAATATATTTTTATCACAGAAAATATAATGCGATTTGTAAAATGCCACTGAAGAGGATGTTCACGTAAACTTAGGTGGAAGGAGAGATTTATGACGTCATCTTACCGAGTTGCCTTTGCTCGGTGTGACGCTCAGGTCTTGCTGCTCCGGTGTGATGGGGGAGGATCTCAGAGGGGGGGAGAGAGTGAGGTTCCGTCGCAGAGGACGTGTTTCCATTTTATCCCCCGATCTGTCCAGTTTGTGCACCAAGTCTTTCCCCCCATCCCTCGTGTCCCGGTTCTTATGCCTCTGTCGCTGCGTGGCGTGGGAACGCCCCTCTCCATGGGCGTGTCCCTGCGTCTCCTCCACGTGCCCATGGGGTTTGTGGGTAGTGGAGTCTCTGGGCTGTAAAGGCTTCATCTCCATCTCGTAGTTGCTAATTTTCTCCTCATCCTGCTCCAGCAGCTGCCCCCCCCTGCTGTGTACGCCCCTGTGCCCGGACGTCCACGTGGCAGATGAAGACGATTCAGTCCACCTGTCCCCTCTAGGCTGTCTGTGATTGGAGGAGCCGTGCTCCCGTGATTTGTGATTGGAGGAGCTGTGTTTGTGTCCGTTGGTCCGGTTTACCCCTTGCCCGCTGACCCCGCCCCTTCCTTTTGACAACATCCCCTTCCTTCTGTCCTCGCTCCAGTTGTTGGCACGTGGACACTCCTCTTTTACTCCTCCCTCGCTTCCACCCTCCATCAGCACCTGGATCTCCGTCTCCCCTCCTCCCCCGCCTTTCTCGCTCCTCTCTCCTCCTTCCTTCCCCCTGTCTCCATGGTCCACGGCGCTCTGACGGTGGAAGCGGGCGCTCTTGCTGCGTTGGGACGGCCGGGCAGGAGGAGGCGGTGTGTGAGGGGGTGAGGAGGAAGGAGGGCTGAGGTCTGGGGTGGCGGCATCGTTAGAAGGATCATCAGAACCAGCACTCTTCATGTACAGATCCGGGCTTTCAGCTGTTCCAGCACTACTCGATAACCCCTCGCACTCTGCTTCACTGGACACCTGATGTTTGGGACGCTGCACCTCCATCCCTGCAGGAACACCAGAAAAAAAAAAACTTATGAAGGAAGCAAATAAAGTTTGTTTGTAACTGGGCCTTAGGTCTAATTTAGGGGGCTTGAATCCACTAAATTAGACTTAAATTAAAAGACAACGACGCCTATTCATGTTTGAAAACTTTGTTGTAAATTTCTTTCTAAATCATCTCTGTCTTAATAAAATCTCTGGCATTAAATGGTAAAACTGCACCCCAGGTTGGTAACCAGGGTTGACTAAAGCTAAAGTTGTGTGTTTTTAAAACTTAAATGTCTAAATATGAGATATTTAAATGCACATTGTCTCACAAGGTAGGATTACTTTAAAAGAAAACTGAAAGGAAACATGATGTGTTGACTCTGATGTCCCAGATATCTAAACAAAGGTGCTGCTAAATGTTAGCATTCATGTTGTTGTTTTATTGTGTAGTGGCACTGAGAGCAGACAAAAGGCAAACGAGGAAGCGCCGGCGTGTGGAAGTGAACGGCACGTGTCATAAAGTCAGCGTGTGTCGTGTTCGTATGCTCTGACTTCCTGCAGAGCTTCACAGGTGTGAGTGACAGAGGCAGAAACATAAAGCTGGAGGGGGGGCCGACACTGACCTTTATCGTCAGCGCCTCCAACTGACACACACACATACACAAAAACATATACACATGCAAATACACACACGGACGCACACATACGTGTTGCTTGGTTGGTCTGTTTTAAATTCTTGTACACATAAATATACACATGCTGCAGATGAGAGACGTTTGTGAGTTTAATGTGTGTGTGTGTGCATGGGCATGTTTTTGTTTCAAGTTACCTTGTAGGGAACAATTTTACAAAAAACATCATGCATTGTGGGAACCAACTGCTCTTTATAGGGATCAAAAGCCAGGTCCCCACAAGGAGAAGTCTCGTTGGGGGGTGTGAATTGCAGATGGGTTAGGGTTAGGCATGTACTAGTAATGGTTAGGTTTAGGGTAAGGGTCAGGGTTAGACTATAGAAAATGAATGGAAGTCAATGCAAAATCCACAAAAAGTACATTTACAAGAAAGTGTGTATGTGTGTGTGTGCCCACCGTTTCCAGGGTGCTGGAAGGATGGGGAGAACTGCTTGGCGGTCACCCTGGCCATGCGACTCTCCTCCTGGGCTTTCTGAGCCGCTCCCACCGCCGCCTCTGCCTTCCCCTGGGCGTGAGCCGTCCTGAAACACAAAACATTAGAAAAAAACTACTTCTCATCTGCAATTTTAAACATTTCAAAAGAAGAAACGAAATTCAAATAATCTCTGGTTGTGATGTAAAATAACTAAATGATCAGAGAAACAGAGTTTTGGAACAAAGAACAAGGAAATAATTTGATTACAAGTTTTTAAGTTTGACAAAATTGAACACAAATCAACAGTAATTGTTGGGACTAATTTCACACACACACAAAAAGAAATCTGTAATCTAACATAATCTAATTTATTGGCTGCATGAACTCAAATCAAAGTCCTGAACCTCTGATTGTGAATAAATTAGAGGTAAACATTTCACGGTTGTGTTTGCTCGACCGGAGCTCCCGTCTTTCTTGTTGGTTTCACCATAATTCATTTAAATGTTGCACATTTTGCAATCTGGAGCTTTTTTTTAACTTGTGTTTTAAAAAGTGATAGCTATTCAAACCATCTGAGATTCTTGCTTTTCTGGTCTGATTTCACTGTTCTTGTCCCGTTCTCGAGCTAAGTTGTAACATTTTAGCATCTCAGTCATGAGGCGACTTGTCTGATCCAGAGATCCACAAACCAGAGCTGAAGGAAACGATGGTCCAGGGTGAATAACGTCAGACTCACATTGTTTAACAATGAAACTTTAGGTGTGTGTATACAACAAAGACTGCCACTCAGCTCACCTTTCATCTCTGCTTTGTACAGGCGATGCCGTTCCTTTGGTGTCTTGGAGATATAAACCTGAGCGTAAACTGAGGTGATTTGCAGTCGAGTGAGAGGAAGCTGTGATTAAATCAGAGACCAGAGGCCTGGTTCTCAGTTGGAAAAACGTGGACTTCCCTCACTGGATTAGGCATGAGCCCCAAGAGAAAGAGTTGGAATCTTGTTCGCAAGTGATGGTAGCATGGAATGGGAGATGTACCAATGGATCAGGGCAGTAATGAGTAAGTTTTTGGTCTATCATGGTGAAGAAAGAGCTAAACAGAAACACAAAGCTCTCTACAGGTCCATCTATGTTTACATATGCTCATAAGTGTGAACCATGACTGAAAGTAGGAGATCGTAGATGCAAGCAGCTGGCATGAATTTCCTTTGAAGGCTGGTGGGCTCAGCCTTAAAGACGAGGAGCTCAGAGTAAAGCAGCTCCTCCTCCCAATGAAAGCAGGTTTCTCTTGCAAATGTGTCTCAACGTGACTAACCTGTATAAATAAATGAAATGAAAGGTGTCTGTTAAGGTGGTTCAGGAATCACCTTCTTCTGGAGGTTTTCCAAGCATGAGACAAAACACCAGAACAGACCCAGAATTTGCTGGAGGGACTGGATTGGGAACACTTTGGAATCCCTCAGGAGGAGCTGGAGAGTTTTACTAGGGAGAAGGTCTGGGTTTCTGTCTTGGACCTGTTGCATCTGGTATACAACCATAGATAAGATATTTTTAAAAGTTTAGAATCTGGGTTGAGGGGTTAAGATGAGTTTTGCAGGGTAGGGAAATAAAGTCAGATTAAATCCCAGGTGTTGGGTTAGTATTAGGTTATTTGCTTGACCAGGATGGGGATTAGACATTAAAATATGTTGGTAATACATCCACAACCATCAGTTTCCATACAATCACAACTTCACATGTTAGCAGTGATACCAGGCGTATATGAGGGAAATCATACGAGACAAAGAGTTAAAAAAGTAAAACTGAGGTTTAAAGGATGTATGCGTTGCTTGCGATTCTAGTTTCAAGAGAAATCTTGGTTTTCTTCAGTTTTTGTTTTATCTCAGAGACAAGAATAGTGCACTCTGTCTCGTGCTCTCTATGTTTTTCATATTGAATACTATAATGAGTAAAAATGAAATGTGTCAGTGCTTGTGTTATATGCTCTACGTGTGAGGATGGCTGATTTGTTCAAACCTCTGCCTCATCGTGTGCACCTGAAGCCCGAGACGTTTGTTGAGTCAGACACATCGGGTTGTGTTTCCCACCAGAAGCTCCACACAAAGAACTAACCTCCTTCAGCTCCCCGGCTGTCTTAATTTACAACAAATCTACAATAATCAGGTATCATAAACAGGACAGGCACATTTATATCTGAATTATCTGTTTTAATGGGTTTTATTGAAGCTGACAAATCTTGTTTTCCAAGAAAGAGACAAACAGCAGGAAGAAACAAATTACACGACTCCCATTAATCACAGTTTCTGTGGAAGGACAATTACTACAGAGCTGCACAATGGGAGGATTTTCCTGTTTAAACGGGCAGCAATCATTTTTCCAGAGGACGTATTAAATATCAGAAAATAAATAATTTCCTTGCCTCTGTGTTTGACAGGCTTTTCATCTCTCTAACAGCTTCGCAGCATCCTTTTCACATCTCGTTTTGTTTGTGTCTCTCTCTCTAATTACCCTTTTTGTTTGTAAAAACAACCCCTTTTTCCATTTCTCTTCGTTTCATTGTCTCCTAGTTTTTCACCCGTCTTTCTGTGCATCCGCATCTTCTCTCTGGGCAGTAACAGTCTTGATGCAGTGTTGCATGTCGATGGCTATTGATTTCTCTTCCTCTCTGCTCGTCTGTGCCAGACCACAGTTAACTAAACATCATGTGAGTGAGGGGGGGGAAAGGGGAGAGGTAAAGACTGTCTCGGTGTTTGCTAGGTTTGATATAGAAATGTTAACGTTAAATCAGATTAAATTATGAATAAACTGTTTCTGCATCATCTCTTCCTGCTTCACTTCCTGTCCCGCAACAATCTCCCAATAAAACCACCGGTTTCTGCCAGGAGCTGCCTCTTTAAAGAAGGCTTGATGCAAAATATAAACGCAAATACATGATGCACTGTCCAAGAGAAAAGAAAAGGAGCTGCAGATGAAGGGCAGGAGGAGAGAAAGGGAGAGTCGAGGATAGTCTTCATCAAAGGAGATGGTGATGATGAGTGGAGAGGCTGAAAGAAGATGTTTAACTTCAGTGAATCACTTCTGCTTAATTGTGAGACAGAATAATTTGCAGAACGGCACATGAGTCAAACAACCGAGAGGTGAGGGGGAGCAGGAAATGTTTTTCTGACAGAAAGGCATCGTGAAGTTTTCATCAAAGTAAAAAACTCAGAATGAACTGATGCTTTTGAAGCTTCAAGTTCTGATGCTGCAGCACCAAAGACTTTGACATAATTAACATTATTTTACAATTTATGCTATAAAAAAGGCATATTGTGTTCATTTGCTGTCAGTGATTCACTAATAAAACAATTGTTTGGGTTAAATATTCTAAAATGCTATGGCGTAAAACATTCTTTATGTAAATATAAACACGAAATCCTTCTAAAAAATAAAATTACATTTTATTGTTGTCACAAACAATATTACAAATGGTTAAATAAAGAAAGTTTGTTAAATATATAAATAAACAACACTTATTTTAAATATTTTTAATTTTATTCACATAAGGGTTTTATTGTACTTGTAACTTTAGTTAAAAAATAATGTCACTAAATGTTTATTTTATATTAATTTTATAATTTATAACATATTTTGTAGTCATGTTTTCGTTTTAAAAACAATTATACCTTCAAGTCATAAGTGATTTCATTTTTGCTCATTTAAATTAACTTAAATTTAAAACATAATGAACAGTTTAATTAATTAATATTGTTTTTTTTATTTTTTTTATTACCAAAAATATATTGAGTCTTTGAAGTTATTACTTGTATATGTATTTATTTTAATGTATTTTTACACCATTTTGTTAACTGTTTACGAATTGAAGTTGTTTTTCTTTGTAAATAATGACATTGACGGCCCTCCATACATTTCAGCTCCTGATGCTGAACATGAGTTAGTTTTCCTGGAATCATTAGACATTTTAAAACTAACTTTAAAACTAATTTTAAAACTAACTTAAAACTACCAACTGAGCGATGCAAAGAAATATGACGAGAAAAGAGAAGATGATGTCAGTCAAACAACGACGGGATGATCTGAGGAAAAGAAAATGTCTGATGTGGGACTCGTGCACTAAGCTCCTCCAGCATCACTCTGGAGCAGCTGATGATGATGAGGATGATTCATCTCTCTCTGAGCCTTCCGGTCTGCATCACCGCTAATCATGTGTACGTGTGTACTCGTGCTGTGGGAACATAAATCTGTTTACACGCCGTGCTGACTTACTATCTGAGCACAAAACAAGTCATCCTGCAAACAAATCGGTTGATTTTTGGTTTAAAGTTGTCTGTAGTTTCCTGGAAATGAACGCTAGCGTCCTCTGATGGGATGGAAACTGTGAGTGAGTGTGTAGCTGTGGGAGAGTGTGTGTTGCGCTTTAGGCTAGCTGATGAAACGAGGTCAGAGAACTGCAGCGAGGGCCTCCGTCCACAGAGCTCAGAGCGGCAGTCTCTGGTTGTTACTATTCACAGGTAGGCCAGTGACACAACGGAGACATGAGTAAAGTAAAGGGACATTTACTGTCAATGAATTTATAAAGAACTTTACAGGCATCAAAGGCTGCACCATTGTATAAAAAATACAAAGTGAGTTGTCAAGCTCTTCTTGAGTTCAGTGCGAGTCTTTTACACCTTAAAGGTAACCTTTAAAAACCTACAAGGTAACTCAGACAAAATGAACAAAAGCCTAACTTTGCTGGAGAGCTTCTTTTTCCACACTCGTCCCTGAGAACAGCGGTCTTGAGTGAAACAGATCCATGACGTAAAAAACAGCAGGGATCACTGTTCTAGATGTAGGATGGTGCTTTTAAAGGGCCTGAAGATAAAATGAAGCTAGACCTGAGGTCTGCAACCTGCAGCTTCGAATCAGAATAAGCTTTATTATCATTGTACCGGGATACAGTGAAATTATGTTCGTATAGTCGTCCGAAAGATGGGCGGAGTGCACGTTGCTGCTGCTAAAAAGCGCGGTCCCTTACTCTTCATCAGAATACTTTTAAATAAAAAAAGGGTAAGAACCATAAGGATAGATAGTGGTATTACAAAAAATATCTCTTCACATCTTGTCCTAT